TTCTTTTTGCTATTTTACTTGAGAGACAGAGAGAGAGAAAAAGTGAGAAATCACTCCCAAAGGGAAATAGCCAAATTGCAATCCCTTCTCCTCCCATTCACCTAGGGGTTTGGGGCACACACATGCGTCCAGCATGAGTTTCAAGCTGCCAAGTCCAGGAGTCGAACCACGGTGTATGTAATATGAGATTCCAGCACCTTAATCACCATGCTACCTGTTGGCCCCAAATAACAATACTTTTTCATTAAGTCATGTCTAAGAAACTATTAAAATGAAAATAGAATCCAAATTTTGGGAGAACACATTTGTAAAACAATGTCTGGTAAATTACTTGTATCTGATATATATTTTATACTCTTACAGCTTAATAATGTGAATTCTAGATGAACAGAATTATTCCAGAGGTGTCTGATGTGGCTAACTGGTTCTAAGTTAAGTGGCGTCTAGCAGCCATTTACTTACTGAGTGATTTACTCTATGTTCCTGAAAAAAAAAACACAAACCAAATCTGTGAATTAGTTTGCTCCTGAGTCAACAGGTGTGACTTGCATCAACCAGCTGGAATGGAACAATTCTAACAATGAAAATACCTGCAGCACCATTAGTCAGAGAAATGCAAACTACTACAAACAAGATCAGATGCTCCCACCATACATGCACTAGAATGGCTAAATCAAAAAGACTGAAAACACCAAATATTGACAAGGCTGTAGTTTTATGGGACTCATGAATTACTGGTAAGAATGAAAATGGTACAGTAATGGAAAATGTCCAACAAGTAACACAGTGAATTGTACACTTACCATACAACATAGCAATTCCACTCCTAAGAATTTATTCAAGATGAATGATCACAAACATTTAAGTGCTCATAGAACATTTGTCTATCACCAAGTGAACAGATAACAAACACAGAAGACTAAATTAAAAATTTCTACTTGAGTAAAATTCCAGAAAATTCAAAATTACAATGACAGAAAACACAGTGATTATCAATGGTTTGAGGGAGAAAGGAGAGCATTTACTGTGCAAGGACACAAGAAAAATATTTTAAAGGATCAATAATCAAAATATTTTAAATCATTCTGTGGTGGTGAGGGTGGCTATGTGACTTTAACTTCTAAAAACTTCACAACTTTCGCATGTAAAAATGCCTACTGTGTGTTAGTCTAACCTCAATGAAATAAATTTGTTTTTTAGAAAGAATTTTGCTATAGGGTACATATACTCACCAGAGAGACAAAAAATTAGTAATCACTTGACAGGGGGCAGGCCACTGCAATCCCTTATGTTCCATTCTCCTCTCAGGATTTTGGGCACAATGCACATGCACCCAGCATGATCTTTAAGCTGGAATCATGGTCCAGGACTGGAACCATGGTCAACTATATGCGAGTCCAGCAATGTAACCATCTCACAATACACTAGTCCCTAAAATGGATTTTAAGATGTATATATGGAACAATTTCAGTTCAAAGAGAAGCTTAATGTTTATTTAATACATTATAAATGTCTCAGGGAAAAAAATAAAAGGTTTTCAAGTTTCTAGTTCTCTGAGGCTTTCACTCAGGTCTCAATTTTTCTTTAGAAAGAAAAACAAAATACATCACCCAAGAGAAGCTCCCAAGAGATCTTAACTTTGGAACTGTGATTAGTTACTTCACTTCAAACATTTGATTGCAATAATAATAATTAACTTTTTTGTGCCACAGTCCCAAGGGCCATTCCACTCCAAACCTCTAAAGATGAGCATAAAATCATTGTTTTTAAATCACAATTGCAATCGCTTTAATATAGGCAAGGTCATATTACTTTTGGAGAAAGCAAAGAACATAGCTATATCTAAAATCAAGTCACAATGTGCCAGATGGATAAGTGTAAGTACCTAGCAAAATGATGATGGTTTAAAGAGAGATTTAGTGAATGCAAATAAAATTTTTCTAAGAGTCATTGCTGCTGAAATGGTATAAAGATCTTCGAGAATAGAGACTCTAACATCACTGAACACAACTTATTGGGGATATTGTAGAATATTTTAGTTGGCTTATACACCCTTTATGTGCTCTTCAAACCTCACATTCCATGGTGTTGAATAATTTCAAGTATCTGGATGAATCCACAGAAGAAATAGAAATTGACTGGAAATACAGGAGAATTTGCATGTGTATAACTGAAGAAACAAATCTGAGAGCGGAGTGGCTTTTGGTTATTTTGACAGAGATCTAAAATAGAAGTCAGTGGAGTTGCACTTGGTCAGCTGTGACTGGCTTCTTGATCCACTGCCCCACGTACCCCTTTTGCCCACTTTAGCAAAAATGTGACCCGGAAGATGAATTACATAAAATTCAGAGGAGTATTCCGAGACTGAGATACACTGGTGATGTACAATAAACAATGAAATGATAGTACGACATTTGGACTTTGTATAAGTCAGGACTTAGACGTCTTCAATGGGACTAAGAGAAAAATTGGGAAAAGTAATCGGAAGTTATGAAAAGATCATTTTCAACCAAGGGAAGAAGAATGGAGTATTTAAGCAAAAATATAATAACCATTTTGAGTGGTCTTGAAAAGGTCTTGACAGATTGGAGGAAGAGTCTTAGGCAAAAACTAAAAGAGATTTATACAGAATTCAAAATTGAAGCAATAAAAGCATCTAAAAGATAATTGATGGTATGCTGTAGAAACAATATACCTGATGTTTGAGATTCTTAACATATTTATAAGAAGAAAGAGCGAGTTGTTCTTCGATCCATTGGTGTGTTGTGAGTATGTTTTACTATGTAATTACCAATATTTATATGTTAAATGGTTGAGTCTCACCCAAATTTTTTACTGTATATTTTATAAGGTATAATTACTCCTCAAAAATAGATCAAAATATTCAGTGAGAATGATATCAAATTTAATAGTTGTACCATAAGTATGTAATTGAATGTTTCTATACTTCAGTACTAATCCTTTCCCAGTTTTTCAGACAGCAGGAAAGACCTCGAACTGCCTCACCCCTGACTCCCACCACATCTTATTCCATCAGGTCCCTTCCCCAATCCTATGTTCTCAGCAAACATTTACTGAGCAGCAATGACCAGGAATCACTGTGAAATGCACTGTCTTTGCTCCCTGAAATCTTACATTATGATCATCCCCAATGATGGAGAAGCTAAGACTCAGGGTGCTTCAGAGTTTTATTGAAAGATCCCAAAATAGACCAGCAGATGATGTAGTTGTGAAGATGCTGGACTCCTTGTTGGCATACCCTGGTTCAAGTCCCAGAGGTGGTGGCTTGAAACTCAACACTGGGTGATTGTGCATGTGTGCCCAAAATCTCGTGCCCAAAAGTCCAAGAGGAGAATGGAGGAGAAGGGACTGCCACATGGCCATGCCCCCTGGTGAGTGATTTCTCAATTTCTCTCTCTATCTCTTCAAGTACAAACCCACATGGCAAAGATCTCTACTAAAAAAAAAAAAAGAAAGAAAATAAAAAACAAAGCGAGAGAGATATTCAAAAGCTATAAGAAGTCAAGCAAAAATTACAGAACAGATTTTCTTTCAAATCTGTTCAATTTTTCTATTATGCCACATTTTTCTGACTACCTTTGAACCTTGAAAAGTGCAATTTCTTGCAATTCTCTAAGGATCTACAGAAATTGTATAAAGAAAAATACCCCCCAAAATAATAAGAAGAACCATAATTTGGCAAGATGATAATTGTGAGAGTCCAGAGATGTTCCTCTAGATATGGAAGACCATAAAAGTGTGCCCTGAAATCATCCAAAAAAAAGTTAAGTTTTGTTTGTTTGGAGAGTTTTTACACCATCATGAGCTTACGAGACTCCAAAGGGGAGAACGATGCTGCCTCAGAGTGTATTTGGTGACAGTGGAACCAGAAGCTGTCCATACTGTTTTCTCCTATTATTATGGTCTCTATGCCATTTATAATTGACAGAAATTTCATTACTTTTCAAACATTCCAGATTTTTTGTTGTAAAAAAAAATTGCATAATGCTTTTCAGGATCTCATGATTTTTGACTCGTACAGTGCTATAGGGGTATCAAGTTCCTATCAGGGTCATAAAAGTCTACATAGGCAAGAAAGAGAATGTAGGCAACTGAAGATGTGGTAGAACAATCCACTAGAGAAATGAAAGGACAGTGAGATAGACAATTTGTAGCTACATGGAAGGACATTCCAGTGTCATTAGTGATGAAGGAGGAGGAAAAGGAAGGGGAATTATAAATTGTTTTGTTTATATAGTGCCATGCTCATTTTTATAGTAAACTCCAATGGCCTCATTGTCCACTCATACAAATTTATGCCATTTGTGCAATGGCAAGTAGTTCGGAAGTTTATCATCTGAGCACAGGAACAGTAGGGAGATAGGAAAATGCTGGCTATTTTCCTGACACCAAGACCTTATTTCAATAGATAGAATTCTTTGGAGTTCCTTGATGACCTAAAAGAATGTTAAACATTACCTAGAAAAAATATGTAAATAGAGTAAACTTCTCTTATAAATTATAATCTTCTCTTTTGTATCCTAGACTTTTCCGCTCTCCTGCCTCTAAGCACCAAACCTAATCTATGAGGCATTTTGGTGTTTGGGTCTCCTCCCAAGCCCAGAATTAATATTTTAGCAATCAGTTATCCAGAGTTACACAGATCCCAGCTAATTAGGAGCAGTCAAACGCACCATGAAAGCTCGGGTTATGGGAGACGTTTGAAAATGAAAATGCAGAACCATGGAGATAATTTAATTCAACCAAAAAAATGTAAACATGAGACTACCAAGGTTATAAGTTATGTCATTTATTCAAAGTTGCACATTTATTAGCGTTAGAAGCAGAAGGAGAACAAATCACTCTTGATTGCTGATACAAAACTTTTTCAACTTCACTTTTACCCAGATGTTGAAAGTTGAAAATGTATTTAAGCTGCTTTCATCTCTGTCTTATTTTTACAGAGATGTGCTGTCCACCAGACATTGCATGCAATAGACATGCAAAATCAGACCATAGTAGCTGAGTTTACCCTGACTGCCTTTCCTGTTCTTCAGAAGCTTCAGATTTTCCTTTTTGTGGTCCTCTTGTTTACTTACATGCTTACTCTAACTGGAAATACGGTCATCATTTCCCTAATATGGGCTGATAATCGCCTCCAAACACCAATGTACTTCTTCCTCAGTAATCTGTCATTTTTGGACATCTTATACACTACCTCGGTTACCCCAAAGCTCTTGTCCTGTTTCCTAGTGGACAGGAAGACCATATCCTTTGCTAGCTGCATCACTCAAACATACTTCTTTTTTTTCTTGGGGACGGTGGAATTTATCCTTTTGGCGGTGATGTCCTTTGACCGCTATGTGGCCATCTGTAACCCCCTGCGCTATACCATCATCATGAACAACAGAGTGTGCCTCCTATTGGTCCTGGGCTGCTGGATGGGAGCCTTCCTTTCAGTGCTGTGCCCAACAATTGTGGTGTCCAGATTGCCTTTCTGTCATAAGGAAATTAGTCACTTTTTCTGTGACATTGCCCCTTTGCTGCAGATGGCCTGTGTTGACACTCACTTCATCGAGATGATTAACTTTCTCTTGTCTTCCCTGGTGCTCCTGACCTCACTGGTGCTCACCACTGTGTCCTATAGCTACATCATTGCCACCATCCTGCGCATCCCCTCTGCCCAAGGACGTCAGAAGGCCTTCTCCACCTGTGCTTCTCACATCACCGTCGTCTCCATTGCCTATGGGAGCAACATCTTCATGTATGTTAGGCCTAACCAGAGCTATTCACTGGATTTTGACAAGGTGACAGCTGTCCTCACCACCATGGTGACCCCTCTTCTTAATCCCTTCATTTATAGTCTAAGAAATGAAAAGGTAAAAGAAGTCTTGAAAGAAGCAATGAGCAAAATTATGTCCTTACTGCAAAGGAAAACTTGAAACTTTAACGAAGTCTATTTCCTCATAATTGTCATTTTCAACTTTTTCACTCAGTGTGGAGAAAGGTTTGCTTGAAGACCAGAAAAACCAAAGTGGGAAGAGATGCATAGGCTACATACCACAACAGGCAAAGTGTTGTAGTCAAAGTCCAGGATCTGGGACAGTTCATCCATACAGAAAATACCATTCTCTGAACTCTGTTATTGGAGTGACTCATATGCAAACTCCCTCTCTCAGGGGCTGATGAAAAATATTAAACTGAAATCGGGACATCTGAATTTTTAAATATGGCTCTTTGTTTTGTTATCAGGTGACACTTAGCCTGTATAAAGTTTACCCTCTCTTCTGTATAGCACTAAAAACCGTTGTGTTTTTCCTTTTTCTTTTTACTATTGTAGATGTAGCCAAAATAGTCAAAGAAATTGAACCACATATAATGAAAAACACTTCTTACTGGACCTTTTCAAGATGTTGGAAGATGATCAGTTTCACCAATGACAAGTACTGTAAATTATAACAAGGAAGAAGACTCACAAGAGTTTGTGCAGTATACTTGCACAGATAGATAGATAGATAGATATAGATATAGATAGATAGATAGATATCGATATATCATGGAGTCCTCTTAACAACTTCAAAAAGTCGATACTATTTTCATTTTACAAATGAAAAATTTAAGGTTCTCAGAGGGTAAGCATGTTGCCCTGAATTACACTGTTGGTATGTGAAATAAATTTAGAGTATGAAAATTCCAGTCTCTCCTAACATGCCACTATATCAGAAAATACGTAAAAAGAAAAAACTTCAGAGGAAGAAATAAAAGCCTGAAAGTTACCCACTGTCTTAAACCTTTTATTTCTTCATCTGTAAAAATGAGCCAGTGACCTTGGTAACTTAAGTGATGTAATAAATATGAAATTGACATCATAATGCTGGGGGCATGGGAAGCATTTAAGAAATGGAAATCAAAGGTGAATCTGAACATTATTAATCTTTTATCTCCCTTCTTCCTGCAAGGTTTTAGAATTTTTCCTGCATTTTTAAATTTTATTTTATTTTTTTAGATTTTTGTCAATGGGGGCACATGTGCTCTCAGGAGAGAGACACAGAGAGACAGAGAGTGACAGAAAGTGAGTAATCACCTCCCAGGGGAGATGACCATGCCACAATCCCTTATCCTCCAGTCTCCTCTCAGCATCTTGGACACGCACTCACACACGCCTGGCAAGAGTCTAAGCCACAGGGTCTGGAACTCCAACCACAGTCGACTACATGGGAATTCAGCGACATAGCCACTACGTTAACTGCTGTTCCCCCACACTCTAATCTTTGAAACCTGTGTTACTTTATATGGCAAAGAGATTTTGAGGATGTGATTGAGTTAAATATCTTGTGATAGTGAGATTGTCCTGGATTATCCAGGTGGACCTTACGTTTAATTCCAAATGTCATATAGGAAACATGTAGGAGACCAGCAGATGACATAATGGTTATGTAGCTGGACTCCCACGTATTTGAGTATGATTCAAATCCAGGATCCAGCTGCTTAAAACTCATGACAGGTATGCGTGCATGAATGCCCAAAATCCTGAGAAGAGAATGGAGGAGAAGGGATTATGATGTGGCAATGGCCCTGGTGGTGTTTTCTCATTTTCTGTCTCTCTGTCTCTCTGGTGAGCACACACACCCTCTAGCAAAAATCTCTCTTAAAAAAAGAAAAAAAAACTTGCAGAAGATTTTACTACCCAATGCAGGGTGATGTGACCCAAAAAATATGCTTCTAAAAGCTGGAAAAGAGAAGAAGGGAGGTCTTTCCC